GCACGCTCACAGTCAATCCAGCGTCGACCTCCTGGGCTCCAGCAACCCTTCTGGCTCAGCGTTCCGAGTAACCGGAAAGACAGACTCATGCTAGCACACCCAGCTATTTTTTATTTTATTATAGCGATGAGGTCTCACCAGGTTGCCCGGGCTGGTCTTGAACCTGTGGGCTCAGGTAATCCACTCGCCTCAGCCTCCCAAAGTGCTGGGATTACAGGTTGAGCTACCGAGCCTGGCCACAAATTTTAGATTTAAAGGCTAAAGTAGTAGAAATTCCTAGGAAGGCCTAGGAGGAGTCCCGTGATAATTAGTACCAATCAACATGATAATTAGTACCAATCAACAGGTTAAATGAGAAGTATTGTTGATAGAAAAACAAATAAACTCTGGTTACTGCCACCAAATCCTCTGTTAAGCCACATCCTCCATTAAGCCAAGACCAGACTGTTGTAACTTAAGACTGTTTCAGTCATATGAGAAGTTGTTGTGGTAACAGCAAAATGCACTCAACATTCTCTGTGTGCCAGGCTCAGTTCTAAGCATCTTACATGCTTAACTCATTTAATCCCTATAGACATGTGAGGACACAAAAACACAGAAGTTATATATTTTTTGAGTCAGAGTCTCACTGTCACTCAGGTTATCCTTCTGCCTCAGCCTTCCAAGTAGCTAGAATCACAGGAGTGTGCCACCACACCCAGCTAATTTTCTTGACGCATTGTAGAGACAAGATCTCGCCAAGTCGTCCAAGTTGGTCTTGAACCCCTAGGCTCAGGTAATCTTCTCGCCTCTGCCTCCCAAAGAGCTGGGATTATAGGCATAAGTCACAACACCTAGCCAGAGCTATATTTTATAAGGGCATTTTACAGAATACTTGGCCAAATAGGAACAGGCCTCAAGCATCACACCAACAAATCTGAGAAAATAAATACTAATTCCTGCAGACCAAATGCCAACAGTTTGAGCAAACTAGCACTCACAAGTAGGCAACCACTGAAAGGAATTGACACTTTAATACAATGCTTCTTACTCCCCTCATCAAGTTCCAGTGCAATGGTGCACACAGCAAAAGGAGATGATATTCACCTTCAACTTCCAGAGACTTGGAAAATAAAGACAGTCAAGGGCATATGACACTGCTAGAAATACATTTCCCAAAGGGGTTGAATGAAAGGCTCTGCCTGACAGTGCTCGCTGGCTGCCCTCTTCTCCTAGACAGAGATGGTGATGGTATAGACTAACAGACTCATACCTTCCTATCTGTTGGAAGTTACTTATCCAGACAGATAGCTACTGGCTAAGTGACACCCTGATGCAGATCCTGTCCACAAAGCTCAGTACTGCTGCAGAGCATCCTAGTGTTTGATGCATTCACACAGGCACTGGGAAAGAGCTAGAGGGACTTTGATTATCAATTTGAGTAACTTCACTAAAGGCACACACAACCCATATATCTGACAAAGCAAGCTGGCAGAAGGCTGCTTTAGTCCCATTCTCTAGATCTTCGAGTATCAGTCAATGATAAATAAAAGGCATTTCATATCAAGAGTAAGGGATAGCAAACAGTTACAAAAAACTAAATCCAAATCATTTCATAGAAATCTTCTCAGAGGCACACACGCACATTCGGGCTCTACTATGAGGTGTCCAGCAAATTCTGGTGATTAGGAATCTATACCAATTTTTTTTTTTAGTTGGATTTTCACTCTGTCACCCAGGTTGGAGTGCAGTGACACGCTGCTCACGGCCACCACAGCCTTGGGCTGCTGGGCTCAGGCAATCCTTCCACCTCAGCCTTCCAAGTAGCTGGAACCACAGGTATGAGTCACTACACCTGGCTAATTTTTTTATTTATTATAGAGACAAGGTCTCACCAAGTTGCTCAGACTGGTCTCAAAGCCCTGAGCTCAGGCAATCCTCTCACCTCCACCTCCCAAATAAGCCACCACTCCCAGTCATACCAATTTGGTTTGTAAGTAAAACTTGGAGGAAAGGATAAATACTTTATTCATTCTAAGAAGTGAATATTCACTCTTCCCTCATATTCTTACATCTTTCACTAGATTCTTAACTACTGTGTTATAAGAAGCTTAATTTATATCCATTTCCTTAAAGAATGAGTTTTAATAAATTCCAGGCATAAAAATAAATTTATTTTCACCAGGTGTCGTGGCTCACGACTTTCTCTACAAGAAACCAAAAAGTAGCTGGGCTGTAATCCTGCGCTCTGGGAGGCTGAGGTGAGTGGATTGCCTGAGCCTGCGGGTTCGAGACCTGGGCAACTTGGCAAGACCTCATCTCTACAATAAATTATAAAAAAATTAGCCGGGTGTGGTAGCACACGCCTGTAGTTCCAGCTACTTGGAAGGCTGAGGCGGAAGGATCACTGGAGCCCAGCAGGTCGAGGCTGCAGTGGCCGGGAGCGGCCACTGCACTCCAGTCTGGGTGACATAGTGAGATTCCAACTCAAAAAAAAAAAAAGAAAAAGAAAAAGAAACCAAAAAGTCAACTGGGTGTGGTGACATAAACCTGTAGACCAGCAACTTGGAAGGCTGAGGCAAAAGAATCATCTGAACCCAGGAGGTCAAGGCTAGGTAGCTGTGAGCATGCAATTGCAATCCAGCTTGGGAGACAGAGTGAAACTCTGACCCAATAGATAAATAAATACATTTCTTTTCTTAGAATTATATTTTGAAATTACTTGACATGTGGAGGAGGAGGAAGAGAGAAAGGAGAACAAGATTATCTAATGTCAAATGCTTACTAAGTGCCAGGTACGACCCTAAGTGTCCTTATTTATGAAGAGTCACAACTCAAATGTAATGTCACTCTTCCAGAAGTTTCTCTGACCACCCCATCTACAATTGCCCCATCATGAATTCTCTCCATACCCTCCTTCATTTCTTCACAGCATTCAGTCATATCAGATATTGTATAATTTTTAATTCGTATATGTGCTTATGGTGTGTCTTCTCCCATCAAAATGAAGCTATATAGTCTATCTTGTTCACTGCAGCATCCCCAGCATCCAGAAAGGTGCCTGGCACATAGAAGATACTCATGAATGAATGAATAAATCCATTTAATCCACACGAGGGCTCCATGAGATACTGAGAGCAGAGGAAATTGAGGCGGAAAGAAGTTAAGAAATTTGTCAGTGTTAACCCAGTTAGGAAGTGACATCAGACTCCAGAACCTGCACTCCCCTCCTGTTTATGTTGTACTACCTAAGTATGAAACATTTCCCTAGAGATCTGAGTCTCAAAATTTTTTGCATCAAAATAATTTGCACACACCCTGAATTGTAGGTAAAGGTTATTAAAAGGATGCTGATTTGATCAGGAAGTATACGCAGTTCAGCAAAAGAAGATTCTGCTGTATGGCAGTCTATCCTATAGACTAAGGCTAAGGGAAGAATAAAAATCTAGAAAATGGGGTTGACTGAAAAAAAAAAAAAATAGGCCAGGCTTAGTGGCTCAGCTTGTAATCCCAGCACTTTGGGAGGCCGAGGCGAGTGGACTGCCTGAGCCCGCAGGTTTCAGACCAGTCTAGGCAACTTGGCAAGACCTTGTCTCTACGATAAAATAAAAAATTAGCTGGGCATGGTAGCGTGCACCTGTAGTTCTGGCTACTTGGAAGACGGAGGCAGAGGGATCGCCAGAGCCCAGCAGGTCGACACTGGGCTGGCGGTGAGCATGCCACTGCACTCCAGCCTGGATGATGGAGTGAGACTCCAACTTATAAAAAATAAAAAACAAAAATAAAAAAATAAAAAATAATGGAAGATGTTTTAATAAGGACTAACTCCAGTGAATACTGAAAATGAAACCAGACAAAAATCTGGAATTTGAGAGAATGAAACTGTATTTGTTAAATGACTGATGGACACTGAACAGTTAATGAGATTCCTGTTAAGTCAAGAGGAAACGGTCCTAATCCAGTCATTCTCTGAGGATCTGATGGTGCTAGAGCATGTCATCTCCATACCCGTAAGGGGAGAACTTGGCCAAAGAAGGGAAAAATAAGTATAAGGAGTCATGCTAAGTGGAACATTATGTTCTACTGGTGAAAGGACATTAGGCTACAAAAGATAAAGAGTTTTCATGTAATAACTACTCTTCTCTTGCAGAGCCTATTTTTCAGATTCTGAGCTCACTGCAATCACACTGTTAAGTATAGATAGTGGGTACATAAAAAAAAAATCAAACTATATTTGATATATATGCTTCTTTTTCCTATTTGACAGATGAAAGAACTGAGACAACCCAAAGAAAACTCTTTCCCCAAGGAAACCCCATAACAAGGATTTTATGCATTTAGTATTCCTCCCAAAACTACCAGGCAAGGTTCAATTAAAACACAGATGATAATTCTAGGTGGCAAGTTGAATAACTCCAGATGGCTCAAACATAAGATGAGTATAGATTCAGATTCATCAGCTTTGACTATATGCAGCCAAGGACTTGAGTATGCAACTCCAATTGGCAAAGAACAATGATGAATGCCAACAGACATGAACATTCCACTCCTCTCTCTTTCCTGATGGCTCTCTTTTGAAAGTAGCCCATGCAGGCAGGACCTGAGTGCCACAGGTATCACCATTAGTGGTCTTCGCCCTATGTCTGGATGTAACTATTGAATTAGAATTCCTGTGCTAGGCAGATCCTTGAGGTCAGAGACAATCAAGAATCATTCTTTGCATCAGGATCCTCATCTCAGTCACAGCTCAAAAGGAAGCACTCTAGATCTGCCCTTTTTTCCCCATCTATTGTCTTTGTAATCTAGTCCAAATGCAACCAGGTTCTAGTTTTAACAATAGACTCTGTGCCCATTAACTCTTTTAAAAAACTTTTCCTTACAACCGCTCATTGGTTGCAATGCGGTATGCTCCAAAGATAGATTTCTTGTACCTTTCCAAAATGAAATCATTTGAAACCCTCCCTCCCCATACATTAAAAAATATATCCTTCCAGCATCATTTGACCGAAGTATAAAGCAACCTGGTTGGCCTCCATGCATCCGATGGCATCTTCCAAGAGTGAAAACTCCACGCAGACATAGCCATAGTCGTAACCTGGGGACAGCATTTAAATACAGACGGGAGTGGTGTTAGTGCCTTGCAAACACAAAAGACACACTTAAATCCCCTGTTTCTGAACCCCTTAAACACAAGCCCACCCAAGTAACCACTCCCTCCCATACACTAGGCAAAGTTGCTACCCAAAATAGAAAAAAGTACTGAAGGAAAGTCTGGATGTTTCTGGACTTTGAGAGTCATTCAAAAATGGCCTTTACTATTAACCAAGAAGATCCTTTGCCCTCTTTAGCACTGGTGATCTGGCGAGGGTGCCCCAGAATTGGGTAATCCCATAGAAAGTTCATGTGGGAACCCGAAACATTTTAATCACAGGCTGAATCTTCTGGAAAAACAAAGTCAACAAGAGCAAGAAAGTATCTGGGGAGGAAAAAAAAAAAATGAATCCCAAGAGAAGGAAAACAATTATCCCAAGGCTATGCTAATAGTCACCACTTTTCAAGCAGAAACCACCTTCAAAGACAGAAGTGCTGACAGACTGAGGCAACTATTCTGTGTGGATACCATAGGAGGCTTCTGGTTGGCAGGGGACAGACCATTTCAGGTCTCCTCTTTTTTTCCTTGTTTCAACTCAAGTCATAAACCAGCTAAAATCGTTATGAAAGGAAGAAGGTGTAAAAGTATAAATAAGTACAAGCAGTTGCGTCCAAAACTGTGCTTATGCAAAAAGACCGGTGATGGGGGAGTCTGAGAGAAAGACAGCAGTTGTTAGCAATCAATACATGTTTAAGAACTGTACATACCATTAGGGTTCTTAAATACCCTTCACCTTACTCCTGAGTATCATTTGCAGCAGAGGCCTGAGGCTCTAATGACCCATGAGACTGTGAAGTCATGGGATTTACAGGCTGCTGAACTCCAGTATTAACTGAACCTACAATTTCCCTGATACAAAATACACTTAATGCAATGCTCTCAAAGTGGTTTCCATGCTTCCTCCACTACCTCACAGGATAAAGAAGCTCATCTCTAGGAGTGACACTGTGCACATGGAACAGCAAGAAAAAGATGTGATTTGTTCAGATGAGAAATAAAACTCAGGGAAAGAAAAACAACACAAAACCTATGACAATTCTGAGTACAAAGTATATATAATAGAAAACTGAGATCATTAGATCAAGGTATCAAATGCCAAAAAAACTACAGCAATATAAAGTATAACTTTATATGCGGTAAAATATTTTGGATTCCTTGTGACATGAAATTAATAGCTTAAAATGTTTTATTAACAATAAGTTTTTATTCTGGACGTATTAAGTACTCCAAATTTACTATGAAATGTAACAGTGGTATACGTTAATACTTTGAGCTTTAGCAAATGACCATGAAGAAGAAACAAAAGCCACTAGAAACCTCAGGACCACCCTAGGCTGAGAAACAGACTTTCTATCCTAATTTCAGTTTTAACCAACATGGATTAAAATTAACCCTTGCAAATTCTGTTTACAAATTTACCACAGAAATCAGTCTCCTCTGCTATTTAATAAGTTTTTGAAGAAACAAATGTACTTTAGAGAAACAGCATGCGTATCCTATTAACAGTAGAAATTGTTTGGTTACTTAATCCCTTTCAAGTGAATTTTTTTCTTTTTCTTTTTTTTGAATCAGAGTCTTTACTCTGTCACCCAGGCTGGAGTGCAGTGACATGCTCAAGGCCACCACAGCCTCAAACTGCTGGGCTCAGGTGATCCTTCTGCCTCAGTCTTCCAGGTACCTGGAACCACAGGCACACGCCACCATGCCCAGCTAATTTTTTGATTTTATTGTAGAGGGAAGGTCTTGCCAAGTTGCCCAGGCTGGACTTGAACCCCTGAACTCAGGCAATCCTCTTGCCTCAGCCTCCCAAAGTGCTGGGATTACAGATGTGAGCCACTGCATCTGACCCCAGTGAATTTTCTTTATTAAATTTAGTTAACACCTGATACGTAAAACATTCTGCATTTTGTAAAGCAGGGGTCCTCAACTCCTGGGTTGTGGACTAACACCTGTTAGAAACTAGGCTGCACAGCAGAAGGTGAGCAGTGTGCAAGTGGAGCTCTACTTGTTGTCAGATGAGTGGCAGCATTTGGTTCTTATAGGAGCACAAATTCTACTGTGAACTACGCATGCAAGAGATCTAGGTTGTGCACTCCTTATGAGAATCTAATGCCTGATGACTCCCCTGCACCCCCCGTGGAAAAATTGTCTTCCACAAAATCAGTACCTGATGCCAGAAAGGTTGGGACCACTGTGCAAAGGACTCTGAATATTCTTGGGAAACATTACAGAGTAGCAGAAGGAACTAAGATACCTGCTGTTAGCACTAAATATCTACTGCAGAACTCTTAAATGCATGTCCACAATCAGAAAGGGTTAGTTACTAAACAAGCAGATGTACTCTCAAGTGTGTTGTTTATCTCTACAGAACATATCAGAGGAGTGCCCAGGTATGTGGAAAGCAATCCTATCCATAGCTGCCAAAAAAAGAAAAATATGGGAAATTAACACCAAATTGGCAAAGTCCTAAGTTCCTTTCTTTGCTTAAAGAAGTGACTACTATGACCCACAGAAACACACAGTCTATGGACAGAGAGAAGATTCATGACAATATCCATACTTTGCTAAATGACAAATAGACACTGATACTAACATCACTGTGAAGGAGAAGATATAGTCAATAGAAGGCACTATGAGCATCTAATATAGCATCTCTAGACATCAAGTCTGCAATACTGTATGTTGACAATGTACTTCAGATTTAATATTATATTCACAAACCCAACATTCAATTTCTTCTGCCTGAAATTCTAGTTATCAAACAAGAACAGAAATTTCAGGTTTAACTATACTGCCTAAAACTTTAAAAAAGAAGAAAACTGCTGGGCATGGTGGCTCACACCTGTACTCTCAGCACTTTGGGAGGCGGAGGAGAGGATTGCCTGAGCTCAGGGGTTCAAAACCAAGCCTGGACAACTTGGCAAGATCTCGTTTCTATAATAAATCAAAAAACTAGCTGGGCGTGGTGGCGCATGCTTGTAGCTCCAGCTACTTGGAAGGTTGAGGTGGAAGGATGACCTGAGCCCAGTAGGTCGAGGCTGTGGTGGCAGTGAGCATGTCACTGTACTCCAGCCTGGGTGGCAGAGTGAGACTCTGACTCAAAAAAAAAAAGAAAAAAAAGAAAAGTACCCAATCTTAATCTAGGCAATCTGTGTGCTCAAGATTCATGATTATACCAGAAGAATTTTCAGCAATTACCAAAACAGATACTGAAAATAAGTAATATCTACATAGAACTTATTGGTGCAAGACTCTAAATATTTTACGTATACAGATTTAATGCTCACAAGACTACCTTATAAGGTAATTATTATTAACCTGATTTTCCTCATGAGGAAGCAGGCAAAGAAAGGATAAGTAATTTGTTCAAAGTAACAATGTAAGTACCAATACTGAGCTTTAAACACAGGCAGTGCAGATCCAAACCAATATTTTTAACCAGATTCAAGTCAATATTTTAAACCACTACACTGTATAAACTCTCACCCTTTAATAAGATCACAGACTAATTTAAATAATCTGAATTCCAAACTCTACATAGCCCAGTTACAGAAAAGGACCCACGTGTCTGAGCACATCTAAGCCCTAGTTAAGAAATACTGAAATTAGCAGCATAATAGTTATCCTATTTTAAAATACCTATGGCAGAACCATTGCATGCAAATTGGAAAACATTTACTCTCAAGGACTGACTATACTGGCTCCCAAAATTCATCTGAAAAGACAAAAACTAAAAAGTCTTGTAAATGATAGCTATAAAAGTTATATAGCAAAATGGAAAGATACTTGATATAGTATATTTCAAGAGCTTTAAAAATGAATACATCCTTGTGGATAATTATGCAAAATGTGTATGGAAAAAAAGACTAGAATTAAATTCAGTGAAATCACATCTAACTCAGAGGTTAGAGACAAGAGTCAGTATGTGAGATAAAAACCATGCACTGTCAAAATCATATTTGAAGACCCCAAGGTAAAGAACAACATACCATATTTCAATATAGGTAAGTCCAACACTGCCAGTTTTTCCTCCAGCGTTGTAACAGATCACTTTTTCTTTGGTTGACACCAGATGAAGAGGTTGGCTTGCATTTAAGGACCATAAGGTATGAAAAATATATTGCTTTAAATAACAGAATCACAGCCAGCACAGTGAATGCTCACTCGGAGAAACTTGGAAAAGGAGACCATCTGAAGCCACAGCCAAGTCTCATCCTGACCTCCCATACTCACTCCATGAGAGGGAAAACAGAGTGAGATGGGGGAAGGGGGTATAGAGTTCGAACAAGCACAGGTGAACATACAAAAATCTGAAAATGCATGTGATGCAACACAACTATATACCAAAACAATTACAGTGGTTGTATTGCTTTAGCACAATAATCAGTTTTTTCTTTATTTCCCAAATGTAATTTTATAATTCACCAAAAAATTCCTTTTACAGAAAAAACATAGAAGATATTCCACCCAGAGACCTAAACATTCGAAACCAACCAACCAACCTTGAATTTAGAATTGCTAGGAATTATTTGGAATTATCAAGATGGTAAGCTCAGTGTTAACAATCCAGTTTTACCAAAGATAATAACAAAAAGTATTTTATTACCTTTTTCTTCCATCAACATTTGCTGGGAGAAGTCCAGTGGACTGATGGGGTTTTGTGCTTATTTATATGGCTATTAAAAAACATATCTGAGCCAGGCTCGGTGGCTCAGCCTGTAATCCCGCGCCTTTGGGAGGCTGAGATGAGTGGATTGCCTGAGCCCGCGGGTTCAAGACCCACCTGGGCAACTTGGCAAGACCTCATCTCTACAATAAATCAAAAATTAGCCGGGCGTGGTAGCGCGCGCCTGTAGTTCCAGCTGCTTGGAAGGCTGAGGCGGAAGGATCGCCGGAGCCCAGCAGGTCGAGGCTGCGGTGGCCGGAAGCGGCCACTACACTCC